GGTTAGGTTAGGTAAACAAATTTGGATTCTTTTTTTCTTACTTCCTATAATTAAATTAAACCTTATTTTACCCTTATAATTGTCTTCATCTTTATTTTTGGAATTCATTTCGGATTGGTATTTTTGAAAACACATTTCGAAATATCCATTACAGAATACGTTTATAGAAAAGGCAACTTGGAAATACATTCCAGATTGGGTGTTCTAGAATATGTTTCTAGAAAAGTCAATCCGAAAATGCATTTCAAATTAGGTGTTCTAAATTGTGTTTCTGGAAAAGCTACTATGAAAATGAATTCGCGAACACCCAATCCGGAGTGTATTTCTAAATTGACTTTTCTAGAACACCTAGTGACGAATCTTAATCATTGATTCTCGAGGGTAAATAATATATTATTAGAAAATAATAAATAAATATAAAAGGGTGAAAGAAGATGAAAGAGTGAGAGGATAAATTGTAAATATATAAGTAAATATATAAAATGATCATTAAGTTTGGGAAGACAAAACCATAAATTATATGAGAGTTATAAAACTAAGAATAGACTAAGAGACTAAAATTGTAAATATACAAATAAATATATTAAAGTTTAAGAAGACCAAAATCATAAATTACATAAGAGTCACCAAAATTTTGGAGGCCACGGTCCCCCCTCAGTTCCCAAGAAATGAATTTTCAGAAAAGTCAATCCAAAATGCGTTTCTAGAAAAACCAATCCGGAAATGCATTCCGAATTAGGTATTCCAAAATTTAAAATTTTCGTGATACTATTTTAGATTGAACAATTTAGGGTTTATGTAATTTAAGTGCAGAAATATGTAATTCATACATAATATTAATATTAATGATTACTTTAAAAAAGGTCTTTAATGGAGGTGATAGTACAAAAAAATCAAATAGTTAAGGGATGAAGATGCATAAGTTGTACACAAATAGAAAGAAGTTAAAGTAAAAAACAAAATTATGGGAAGAGTATTTTAGGTATTTGACGTGGGGTATGGAGGTGAAATGAAAAGTTATGCGAGTGTAGGAAGATGGAGCCAAAAATTTGAGATCTAAATTAAATTGAGCTTATTTTGACATGTCCTGTTTTGGTTAAACTAGTATGTATACTTATTGATAAACTCATTTTATAGAATAATAATAATGTTTAAATAAAAATAAAAGTAATATTATTTTATTAAAAAATATATATGTATTATTAATTAATTTGAGAGGAATTCATTTATTTTAAAAATAAATATCAAAATAAATTTTTAGTAATCATTTATTTTAATATATAATTATTAAGATTAATTATTATTTTTAATTAGTAAGTTATTAAAAAAAATAAGTTTTTAATTTTTATTTTAAGATTAAAGTGACGTATTCTCTTATATTTATATATATAAATAATTGTATCTTAAACAAAAATAAAATTTATTAATAAATTTAAAATTTCAAAATATATTTTTGTTTTTAATTTTTATTTAAATATTTTTTAATTAATTGATTTTATATAAATATATTAATAATTTTTTTAAATTTAATCAGGCCAAAATTAGTATATTAACCCGTTTGACTAATATAGAGTTTGACTAAATTACTTTATGTTGTTTTAAAATATAGGTAAAACTGAGTTATAAATTTTTTTATTTGATATGTAGAATTAGATACATCTTTTATGGACTGAGTAAAAATATCTTTATAAAAATAACAATTTTGTACGAAAATCTGTTATACATATTTTTACTATTTGATGCCTTACTATTTATAATTAAAATATTTTTGATCGATCGGGTTAAAAGAGAACTTAATCGATAAAAGAGTTTAATTAATAAATTTTATTGAATATTTTGTAATTATAATAGGTAAATTGAGTCTAGTGGTATCAAACATTGATAAGAAAGAAATTTTGTTCAGGCATAGAAAAAATCGCCAGAGAGGAATAAGCATAAAATTTCAACAATAACAGAAAATTTGCAAACAGAAGTTTAAAATTTAGAATAATTCTTATAACGAATATTTCATTGTTATTGCTCAGTGAATTTTTATAGTATCACTGCAAATCGCAAAACAGCTTTGAATTAAATAGATTAATTTTTGCTATTATTTAGTTTAATATTAATTGTTAAATTAATAATATAATTCGAATAAATAGATATATTAATTATAATCCACAATAAAAAATTAAATAATTTTTTTATTAAATATAATTAATAAGAAAATACATACCGATATATTGAATAATATGTGCTATACATTGCATTTCATAACACAAATAGTTTCTTTAAATATAAATATAAAAATAAAAATCCAAATCTGACACCAGAGCATGTGGGCAAATTTATGAAATTACACATTCTTGAAAGTGTCACATCGCCTACCTCATATCATTTGGTATGGTTTAAATACATGCTAAGCTACTCCACATATTGCCAATTGGTTTTATGTTGGAACCTTAACATGGTATCAGAGCCAAAGCCTAACATCTTTCCGGTTATTGTCATGGGCCAAAAGTTGCCCTTTAGTTGGGTCAAAAGTACCTTTGCCTGGTCCGAGCAGGCTTCGTTGGAGGGTGTGTTGAAAGTCCCACATCGCCTACCTCATATCATTTAGTATGGTTTAAATACATGTTAGGCTACTCCACATATTGCCAATTGGTTTTATGTTGGAACCTTAACACACATCAACAAATAATTAGATACAAGAGTTTGCATCCATAATGTTTCAAATAAAAGTAGAATAACAGAACATGGTCCCATTTCATAGTTTTGGATACAACAATGGACGACTAAAGTGCAATAAACTCACATACAAGGATTAATTAAAATATAAAAACCATTAGCATCATGTGGACGAAGAATCCAACCATATTTGGAACCATTACATTATAGAACTCTCCAAAAATGTCTTGTATATAACATAATGGGATGTTATTATTTTTTTCTTAAATAGTATAATAAGATCCTTAAACCGTACTTAAATTTCATTGTGCTTTTTCATATGGTATTGGTAGCTTGGTCCTTTCCTACACGACCTAATTAGCTTCCATATTTGTCAAAAAAGTGATCACAAACCCCGGAACTAATAAAGATGTACCTAATAGAATAAAAATGGTAGAAAAAATAAAAATTGAAAATTTTTCTTACTCATTTTTTGTTCATTGCACTGGCATGGTTGTGTCCAACCTACATGCACCTAAATGACAAAACAAAGTCTATAAAGTGGATGGAAAGAAAAAAGGTGGTCATCACTTATTCTCTAATCTTGTTATTTGCATATGGGTTGTTTACTACCTTGGTTACTTTCTCTAAGAATGATGATTGTGTCAAACCCTCACTTTCTCTTTTTCCATCTTTAGACTTCTCTATTGTAAGTTTGTCAATCCTACTTTATTTCTATGCTTCCCACTTCAATCTTGAAAAAAAAATCTAAACCAACAAAATGAAAAATAGTAAATTGGTTAAAAAAAAAACAGAAAAAGTTCTCCCTTTCCTTGTTATCCTATTACTAGATCCTCTACACAAATTTTTTTTATATCTAATAAGATTTTACCTTAAGAATATTAGAATAATTATTTAAGATTTTTTTTTGGACAATTTTTTGAATAAGTTATTGATAGAAAAAAAATAGATTAAAGTGTTTTTAGATAAATTTGTTCAAACAAATTTTAGTTTTATTATAACATCACCTTTGAAATAGTCTTTTACTGTTTCTTAGCACATGTGTATTTCATTTTTATTGATTTTGTACCGACTAGTATTCCTGTTGATTTGAAAAATCTTTATTTGTCACAAATCACAACTACTGATAAAAAACTCAAACTTTAACTGAGTCATGTTTATCTCCTTTTCTTTGCTGCATTATTTTATTTCATCTTCCTCCCCTTGTTGCAGTTTTGATGGGATTGAAGCAATTCATAACCTTATTATCACACATTTGAGTCCTTGTTTGATTGATCCGTACACCTACCATGCGAATTTTCTTTTACACTACGACTTTTGGCTTTACGTTACTCTGATCCCTAGTATTAGTCATCCAGAGTACAAGAGGCAGAACCAGAACACCCATTGAAGCAAATTTCTTACAAAGAAGATTGCTGCATGGTTTCATCAGTTATAAGGACAATTAATCAAGAACAATTTTAGTGATCAGTACCTACATACATAGGTACTGTGATGTAACAATTATTACAGACAGGGTACTGTCATTGTCCATAATTTTATCTCTTCACTTAAAAACAAAAGAAAGAAGGCAAGAAAAAGAAAAGAAAAAAGGTCTCTACTTTACTACTTTGATCTGAAAGGGATCATGAGAACTCATACAGAGACATGAAATTCCATCCAATAAGAGTGAGACAAAGAAAACCAAAACCCAAAACACATCACTATGTGTGGTTTGAGTTTCTTAGATAGAAACTATTAATTCGGACTAAATGTTACATAATTATGAAAAAGAGGGACCCTTCAACCTTCATTGAGTTGACCCACCCACCTTCCTTTTGGGTACATCTATCTTTGATGAGAGATATAGGATACAGTTAAGTCCTCAGTACATTCACTGTTATGCAGCAAAAATATCTCCCAAACAATGATCCTCATTTCCTTACCCTCCCTTTGCCTTCTTCTGAGTCTCTTCATAACTTCTCTTTAGTGGTTGGTGTGGAATTGAATTGATACACATGATCACAAATTGGGACACCCTCTCTGGCTTATGATTATTCCCTTTGGATACGTGGTTTAGTAAAAAAAAATTGGGAACACGAGGAGACAAATTCAAAAATAAATAAAAAAGGAAAAAAAAGTCATGTAATTGAGAGGAGAAAGATACAGTAGCAGTAGAACTAGTCTAAGGTGGAAGGAAGACCAAGAGGACATCAACTTCATTTCAAAGAAGGAAACGAAGTTTACAATTTGAGCAAGCTGTGTACCTTCTAATTGAAAATCAAACGTTAAATCATAGCTTGAAGAAGATGATGATACACAGCAATCTGGGTTTTAGTTTGGTTTGATTTTTCTCAAGAAGGCGACTGAGAAACTCTAGGTGAACTCAGAGGGAACAAAGGTAAAAGTTGAGGCTCAAATTCTCTTGGAGTTGACATGGGAGAGGGATGCAAGTAGAACCCTTTTTCAGCTATGGCTTTCTCTTCCTCGGAGGAGGAGCTTCCCAATGAAGGTGAAGAAGATTTGTCAAAAGGGTCATCATTCAATGGAGTGACAGGGCTGAGAGTGAGGGAGGGGAAGTCAAGCAAGCTTGGGGAGAGGATCTCTGGCTTGTGGGGTGAGGAGAACCCTGAGCTGTGTGCAAAATTGGGGACCAAGGTGTTGATCATGAGGGTGTTCTTAAGGTTGTTGTTCCTCCTTTCATAGAGCTTGAACCCTTGCTGCTTCTTTGGTGTTGTTTTCATCGGAGGGATGTTGAAGTTCTTGAATGATGGAAGTGGAACTGGTGGATCTTGCTGTGGCTTTGTGGTATCTGATGAGCCAGTGAGCATTTGAACTACCTGTTTGAAAGTGGAAGTGTCAGCTTGGACGAAGGTGGTGGGGTAAGGCGTGGAGTCAGATCTGGGGAAGGTTTTTGGTGTGGTGGGGATTGGGATGCCAATGCTATTATTGCTGCAGTTCATGCAGTTGTTGCTGATATTGCTCCTTGGAGAGTTCATGGAAGGTGGGGTGTCTGTGTCCTGGAACCTCAAGCTGATTTCCATTGATTGGAGGGTGAAGTGGTGAAGGGTACTTTGTTCCGTGTACCAGAACCAGAGAAGAGAGAAAGAAGGGTTGGTGTTGACACAGACTTTGGATGGAAATTGAAGGAGAGAGATTGATATATAGAAGAGTGAAAAACAAGGCTTGTTGAAAGGAGGAAAGAGAGTATTGGCTTTGATTACTTTGCTTGTGTTTTGTTTTAGTTCAAACTTTCTTTTTTCTTTATACTATTTCTTTTTCTTCTTTTCATTTTCTAGTGCTGATGAGATATTCTTTGTCTAAAGAAAATTGTAAGTAATTAACTGTGGTCTTTTGGCGGGGCTTGGAAGTGTGGTCGAAGAGAGAGAACGGCCCAGAGGCTTTGGGATCTATAAATAATAGTAGATTAAAAATGGCAAAGTGGTGAAGGATTATTATAATATGGGAGTTTAATTAAATACGCGAGTGAGTTTGACTTGAGAGACTCGATGGTAGCATAGATGAAGATGAAGATGATGACGATGGGATTGGAAAATAATGATAGCTACACGTTGATCACAACAATACCATGTCGTAGATTGTGCGGTGTTTAGGGCACTTTCAAACAGAGAGTGTCTTGCACGACCCAATCGCATTCAGCTATCACCTAATCCAACTCTCCCATGCACAATACGGCTACCTAACATGGCCCTGTAATATATAAAGTACAAAATAGTATTTTTTTTTATAAATAATTTTTTTTTCTGTTTTTATAAGATAATTTTCTAACTATATTTTACATTAATTACTTTTCGTAAAACACTATTGAGGATTTGACAAAATTTAAGTTAATATAATAATGAACATTGAAAATTAAATGATATTCTTGGATTTTATATTGGGTAATTTATGTATACATTGTCTTCTTATTTTTTTTAGGATAATATTATTATAATTATCAAAATATTTTTTTTAAATAAAATCATCATAAACAAAAATTATAAAATAGAGGATATTTCATATTATTATAAAAAACATAAAAATATTTTTTTTCTTACATGAAATATTTGAAATTCATCAGAATCCACGTTAATAAAAATTTATACATTTTTTTCTTTAATCTATCAAAATATTTTTTTAAAGTAAAACGGTAACAAATTAGAATTTTAAAATAAATAATATTTTAAATATAAATATTTAACCTATAAAAATAATAAAGTATTTTAAAATAACTATTCATAAATTTAATATTATTAATTAAATTAGAAATTTTTTTTAAATAGTATGAATTATTTGAAAGTGTATTACATATATAAGAAATAAAAGAAATATGAAGAGTAATCTTGAAGTTACACTATGTTATCTAAGAGTCCAACTCTGGACTTAATTGAAACAATTTTAATTGACACGGTTGATAGTTACATGTAAAAATCTAATAATTAAAAATGATTATGGTCCCAAAAATGTTAAAAGAAATTTACAAAGGGTCATGTTGGTATTATTCTTTACATATTATGGACATTGTTGAGTGTATTTATGTTTATAGAAACTCGTGTCGTTGGTATTCTCTGGAAGAAAATGACGACAAAAAATTAATTATTTGTTTTCTATTTCAAAATATCATTATCACACTAATACTATACAGGCTGGGAAGTGCAAGAAGTCAAATATTCATCAAAGATAAAATAAAAATAGTAGTAAAATTATTAACATTAAAAAAATGCTCATATTTTTTAATTTATTAATTATCTTGATATTTTTAAATTAAATTAAATCTTGTAACTTTTCAAAGAAATATCAATGGTTCATAAATCATATGAAAGGAATTGATTACTTGATTTGTTTGAAATGAATGAAACAGAGAATAGCATGAAGCTTTGTTGAAAATGTAATTACTTTTCTAATTTAAAGCGTAACATATAAAATGAGAAGTGTTATGACACGAATTTGCTTTCTATCTTCTTAAAAACAACTGGATCCACCCAAATGCCGAAACCATTCATATGTGGACACGAGAAGAGAGGTGGAGACTAAAGAAATAAGAGAGTCAATGCCTTCAAAGTTGTGTTTAAAGGGTAATCATAATTTGGTGTGTGGATTACAATTTCATTAAATACATGCACTGCATTCTCACCAATTTCTCATCAATTATTTTATGCTAAGTCAAGGGGATATGATTTTCTTCTTTTTCTTCTCAAGAAACTGTAGATAGAAAGGGTTGACACAACACAATCAAATTTTGAAGTTAATTCAGGTTTCCTTTCAAAAGTATAACAAAAAATGTTTAGAACAGCAGAAATCTTAAAACTAGAAAATAAGTGAGATAGTTTAATTTGGCAGTGGAAAATAGATTTCAAAGGAAGAACAGAAAAATAAAATAAAATTTGAAAGATACCATGGCCACCACCTTCAAGTGGGAAATGAGTAAGCACTGAAGAATGACTATAATCATATATCTTTGAGCAACTCTAAAATTAAGTCAAGTCATAATCTACTTTCTGAAAATGACATTTTTTTTTTCTTTTTGTCTCTTCTTCGTCTCTAGTTGGTGACAGATCACGGTTAAGAATTCACACATTCTATTTTCAAAATCTCCATCATTTAACAAATTTTAGTGAATGCTTTCATAGGAATGTAAAGATAGGGAAGAGTGAGTGAGATTGGCCATAAACTGAATTACTGAGTTGTGGATGAAAATGAGTTTTTTCAGAAATTAGTAAAACATTCACTTAAAAAAATATATTTGATGCTCAAATTCAATTTTTAAACCAAAGATTGTAATATCAGTGGATAAATGATCAAATAAAATGTATTCTTAGGAACGACAACGGAACAGGACGTACACGATACTGTTTACTCGTTACTTGTTTTGGTTGAAAAAAATTGTTTGGTATTTATTCTATTTTATTAATTATTGTGGACTTTTTTTTTATACCGTAGATATTTTTAAAATTTTTATTTTAAATATTATTATTATTTAAAAATTATTCTTTGAAATATATAATTTAATAGTTTTTTATTTTAAATGAAATTAAAACATAAAATAATAATATAAATAAAATTAATCTTTATAAAATATAAATTCTAAGAAATAATAATATAAGGCATAAATAATTTTTTATAGTATTATTTTTTTAAAAATAATTTTAATTTTAAAATTTAAATAAAATATAAATCTGAAAATTTTAAGTTAAATAAATCTTTAATAATTAATAATTTTATTTTAAAAAATAATAAATAAATTTTTAATTGATAACGGTATCTACCAATTGGATACTTAAAATATTCATTATAAATTTTACCCACAGAAATTCGTTGGTAAGATTTTTTTTCATCCCTATCTATTACACGAGAATCTCCTTATATAAGCTTTATATTAAATAAACATTTATATAAAATATTATATAAATATTGATCTAGAAGAGTAAATAATGGGATTATCCCATTTGGGTCAAAATCAATATTCTTATATGCATAAAGTCAAATTCGGGTTTACTCGTGTCAAAAAGAGAAAGAGCTTGCAAAAGGGTAAATAGACTAATTGCTTTTAACGTTTCTCCATTGAAATATCTTACACGTGTAACTCATATTTATAATAATTTATTTGATTTCTTAAAATTCCCTTATATTTTCGCTTTAAGTTAATATGTAACTTTTGATTTAGTGTTGTGTTTAACTGATTTTTAAGTGACCTTCACCACATCTCAACTCATTAATCAATCCCTTAAATTAATTAAGACATATAAATTTGCATTAAATAATCAAACTAAGGGAACTCACATACAAAATTTTAGTTGTAAGTTTCAAAGAATCAATATATTTAGTATTTAAATATTCAACCATATTATACTTCATATTATTTTTTTATTATTAGAATAATTAAGCCACAGCGTGAAAAAACTTTTAAAAGTATATATATATATATATATATATATATATATATATATATATATATATATATATATATATATATAATATACCACTATTTCGCTGTACTTAAAAGTTAAAGGGTTAATTGTAGTTTTTATATTTTTTTTTCTTAACTTACGGAAACGTACTTTAAGAATAAAAATAAGATGAGCAAAATTTTAAAAATAAATCATATATTAAATATAAAAAATTAATCATAAATAATATTATTATAGTAAATATGAGATGAAAACATTTTTATCCCTAAACAAAATATTGACATTTATTGTAAGATTGAGAGTAGAGTTTTACTTTATTCATACTTCTTTATTTTTTTATTAAAATTTTATGTTTAAGTGTGCTTATGAGTCATATATCAATTAACAGGCAAGACAAAAAATAAGTTTTATATATATATATATATATATATATATATATATATAATTTTCTCTTAATTTTAAGGATAAAATTGTAATAAAATAGAACTCCAAAATAGATAAGACAAGATATTAGATAAAAGAATTGATATATAATAAAGATGAATAAGAAATATTTTATTCTTAATTAGAATATAAAATGTTATTAAATTAGTTTATAAAAGTTATTTTAATTATAATTTTTTATTTTTTTATTTAAAACATCTAAAATAATGTAGCTTCACTTGAGGATTAATTAAGGTTTTTTATTTTTTTTTAACTTTTATAATTTGTACATGTTTTTTTGGAAGTAAAAATATTTAAAATATGATATCCTAAAATTGTAGGACACTAGACAAAACATGAGTATAGTTAAATTAATTTATAAAAATTATTTTAATTATAATTTTTCATTTTTTGTTAAAGATTTATGACATATAGCTTCACTTGAGGACCAATTTAAGATTTTTTTTTAACTTATTTATAATTAGTTCATGTTTTTGGAAGTAAAAACATTCAAAATATGATGTCCTAAAATTGCAGACACAAACACTGATTAAATAAATTTCAATATATTCCATAACCTTGTAGACATTGAACAAATTAAAATATTTAATGATGCCATAACTTTGTCAAACCAAGCCTATTATTCATGATGGTAGAGTCATGTGTAAACTTTCACAGATTTCAAAGGTGTATGCATTAATTATGTGTCTAATTTTAATTATCTGTTCCCTAAATACAGGCACAAAACAACAACAACAACAACTCTTTCATTAAACCAAATTTAATAATTTAAACAACAATGGATGTGTACCTTAAATTAGGTGACAATAGATTCCCATAAAAAATACAAAGAATTAGGTTTGATAGTGTGAGTTTTGCACTTCCCTTATTTTAAATTATGTAGTAATTTAAATTATGTAGTAAAAAAATACACTTTGTAATCTTAAGTAATAAAATTACATAAAACATATTATATAATATATTATAGTATATAATAAGTATAATCATTACAATAAAATACATATATAGGACATAAGAAATTAAAATCATTATTTTACGAATAATTGAATTAGGTTTGAATTATATTTTTTTATAAAACTTCTAACATCTAAATTATTAATTTAAAGCAGAAATTGTTAAGAGAAATATTTGTTGTTAAAGCGCAAATTATATAATAATAGTATGATTTTTTAAAATAATTATTGTAATGTTTTATTTGTTAATGAGAATGTAAAATTGTTTTACACCATTAGAGTGTGACCTATTTTGTTTTATATATAGTACAAAGTTGAATTTGTGTATTTTCTTTTGAAAGACCAAGTCTCTTTGACTTGCTCATTGGTTGGTAAGAGTTATTATCATACTTTTTATTTTTATTTTTATTGTTTTGTGTGTGGACTAACATAGTTTGTTCTCCACATATGTTGCAATCACAAAATCTAGTTCAAAAGGAACTTCTCAGATGACACCATAGTACTCAAGAAAATAGTTTTAATTTTATTTTTTACTCATCACATTTTTTTTTTATCAATGTATAATTTTATTTAAATGTTTGTATTTTTTTTTTTTCATCTTCCTAGTTGTTAAAAAATTAAGGTTTTTATGCTAAGTTCTCATCTAGTAATTAGTGTAAAATTAACCAGAGTATGACATGATAAGAATTTTATATAAATTAAACACACGTCATTTTAGGGTTAGCTCGATCCAACCGTAGACTAAAAAGAGCTTCTTCCACAAAACTCGTCAGAAATCCTAAAAATCAATTTTTTTATATTGTTTGGATTACATCTTAGAGGCCCAAATTAAATAAAGATATTTTTGCCCCAACCCTTTATAGTCCACTACTAAATGTCCAAACTTTACAGTTTCTATGTCCGTGCATACCCCAAATTGAGAGTGCAATCACATTTTTATTCAGAATATATTAAAAATTTTCAGATTATACATTTGGATATTTTAGTATTGATAAGATTGTAATGTAGTATGTGCTCATTTTAAAATTTTGCAACCCCAATCATGATCATGCAAAAAGCAATTGTGTTAATTGTTTTTTGGGAAAGAGCTAAATTTTAACATTTGATCATGATAAGCATTGCCTAACTGTCTTCATAGTAAGAAGCCTTTGTTATTAATATTGATCGCGATTGGATTGTAATAATAATATCATCTTGCTGAACAAGTCTCTGTTAACATGTAGGGCCACTTGAACCTAACTTTAATATTTGCCAATTCAGAGGCTAATGAATAGTGTCAAGTGCATGGTTGCTTTATAGTTGTCCTTGTAATTTAGTGTTGTCTTGGCTTCTTTTGTCTTTCAAGCAATGAGTGATGTTATCTTCATGAAATACAAGAAAACATTCAAAATTCATTTGGTCATTCATTTCTAGAAGCGTAAGCTTGCACTTTTTTCATTGATATTATTATTATACCTTATCCAAATAGTCTCCAGTTCAACCCACAAGGGGCAAATAGCCTTGATATAGCCTTACAAATCAAGGCCAACTTCTAAATGTCGGTGAATAATATTCTGCCATAATCACTTTTTTTCAAAAGTTGAAGTTTATAATAATTCATTTTACTTAAACTTTTTCTCTTATAAATTCATGCAAACAGAGCTCAAGTGAAACAGTTACATAAATGCTTCCGCAAGCACACAAAGAGAGGCTTTTCCCAAGTAGCATTCATTCATTAAATGGGCGTAATACCAAAGTGGGAGTTCAATAAAATACAGGTAGAGAGGGAGACTTTCTCTAAACTACATTGGTATCCTGTCATTATTTATCCAATTGGTTGAGAAATGTTGGCACACTAATTCACAAGCATAATAAATAGCCGAAAGCACAAGCAAAGAGGCTTCTCTGGTCAAAGTGCCCGAGCAACATTTTTAAACTCATTCAAGCAAGATTGGAGTATCTTCTGCCGCTTCGTGAGGGACTCTCGTTCACCCTGTAACACATCTATGGCACCAGGTGCTACAAACATATCCATGAATTTCTCATCGTTCACAGCAAATAAATCCAACCCAAGAGCCACGAATAACCGTTCTCGGCTGTCCAAAGTAAGCAGAACAAATTAGGTATTTACTATTCCTTACAAAATAAAGGAGGTGTTTGCACAAATGTACGTGAACTTAAATATCACTACTGTTTGTTATTTCAGGTTATGGTCTGAATGGTGACAAGTTTAAGGAAAGAAACAATTCATGGTTTAAACTGCGTAGTCCCTGTAGTTGTTCCTGTTTCAAGTTTAAGTAACTAAAAGTTGTAGTCCTTTCATAGGTTATTATTAGTGAGAAATGGCATTCTGCCCGTAAATAAAAAAAGGTGGCTTAAATTTGGACAGAGGTATTGTATTAATTGGAATATTTACTGAAGTGAGAAAATGCTATCTGAAAAGAAAACTAGTTTAAGTGCCGCATTTGGGTAATTAAACGCACAAACTGATTTCAATCAAGGCAGAAGCTTACCAAGGGGTTAGGAATCCAGAATTTAATGTTGATGTCACGCCTCTCTCGACCAGAACTTCACGAATACGCGCAAAATGCTGGGCAGCTGCTATACAGATATCTGAGTAAGCTGAACCTGATCTCTCCCCATTTCCAAATAAAACACCACCATTTTGCGGTCTAACATAGTCAGAATTTTTGCTATTCCCTCCCATTCTGGACGCTCTCTTTCTTGGTCCCCCGTCATTGAAAATTCCAAGCTCCTTTTTAACCACCCCATATGCTACATCACCTGGTTGATCAGGAGATGGGGTCTCAGGGATTGTTATATGACTTTCTCTCAAGGCATCTCTAGTTTCTGCTGCTTTACCTGGTGTGGTTTCTTGTGCATTGCTTTCTGGAGGTATATTTTCCTGATCCCTCCTTGGATCGTGGGAAGCTAAACTAGTATCACTCAACTCTAGGAAAAACGAAGAGGCTGAAGCCTGGTTGAATTTGTTATAAGAGGGTGCATGGTCATTGACGTAGCAGACCTGTGAATATGGACTAGTAGCTGAATCAACGTGATGCCTCACAAGCTGCTTGCAATGCTTAGCAAGATCTCCTACGAACCGATTGTAAGCACATCTTAAAGCAGCATGGAAACCTACATAACCATCCATGTTCCCCCCTTTAATCGCACCTTCAAGGGACGTAAGCACCAGTCAGAGTCAGATTTCCAATCAGTTACAGGGCAGCATATATATAAAATCTAGGCGAGAAAATTTAACAAGATCATTACTCAAAGTAGACAAAAGATAATAAAAAACATTCCATGAAATTGACATAAAATGAAGATGAATTTCTATACCTTAGGAACATAGTAATTACAGTAACGAATCGGAACAATTTTTTTATTGTTGTATTCAGTTCTCGAAGGACGACAAAATATTCAACTGCCTAAACAAATCAAATTAGTGTTGCAACTTCCAATGGTATTTTTGAGAGATCTTTAAGCTGAAGAAATCAGACCCTCGCAGGGGAATGTGATAGAAACCGGTCTCTTAATAGAAAGAATATCGGATTTCTCCCACAATACAGTGGTCTAACTTGCACAACTATAATGCACTTCTCTATTACCCTACGGTCTAAATTCCCTCACAATTGACAAGATGTCATCCCTCTTTTTATTTATACACAGCTGGTCTACTATATAAAAACCCACCTTCAACTGAATCCAATCAATTGCAGTTCCATTAACATAACCCCCCGTGTATTTCTTAGACTAACATAACTAACCATCGAAGAATGATACGATGTCATGATTTAGAACAGGAAAAAAACAACTATAAAAGAAAATTGTAATATTCAAGTAATGAAGACAAAGAACCTAATAACTAAGGAGTTTCACTTACGTTCTAAATCTTGACTACGGTTTCTTTCTAGAGCCAAATCAAATAAACATCCCAAGACAAAAGCAAGTCGGTCACAAGCAGTTTCAAGAAGAGGAGCAAGCCATGATTTCGCAGCCGCCCGAGCAATCTCTGCAGCAGCCTCTGTTATTCCTCTTGCCCCACCTCGGCCGGCATGGGCAAGCAATATATTTGCAACCTGTTTTCAAAATTGCTGAAGAATTTGAAGTTGAAACTTAAATGAAAAGATAAAATGTTTCTCACACATTTATGAAAAGTAAATCACCTTCTCCCTAGACACTGAGGGGCATTCTATGGAATATGCTGCACAGCGAAATTCATGCATCACCCTCTCAAATGCAGCTCCTCCATAAAGACGAAGAGTAGCATTGGGGGGATTTACATCGGCAATGACACCAGGCCAAACCCCAATACCACTTTGTGACCTCTCTTCTACTGTTGTTTTTCCCCACTGCTCAGGCGAAGGATCTGCAGCACCATCAATCAATGCACCCTGGACAAGTGCAAAAGAAATGGTTATTAACTTGAAGTAAATGTCTATAATCTTTGACAACATTTGCTAAAAGGATGCCTAATATTGCATCTTATTGCGTAGATAGAAGCTACATGCCAAAAGTTTACTTTAAACCAGTGTCCAAAGTGAGATGTGTAATGCAATATACACGATTATTCATACGTTATCAATCAGAAGAAAACAAACAACAATGCGAAGATACTTGTTAAAAAAACTAATCATCAATGAAGAAAAATTTACAATAGATATGAGTGCTATCACAAAAATAAAAGGTTTCAGACTAACTGTCAATATAGTTCATCAATCATCGGTTCATGCCTACCTAAATATATTTGACATAGATTACCCACCACATGGTTGCTGATAGAAGCCGCATGTAGCATTGCAAATTTCCTGAGATGGGAAACATCTGAAGTGGCCTGTATTTTCGAATCCATTCTAGCAAGTTCAGAAGTCACATCATTGCAGCGCTGCTCTAGCAAAGCCAGGGTTGCTGGGGTAGCTTCTTTGTATTTCTTCTGAAGCTCAGACTCCAAATAATCTCTTAGACAGCTAAAGCCAATATAGGATTTAAATTTTTGTTCATCGAAACCTCCATTGACGCCCTCACGTAGATGACGAAGAACCTCTGAGTCCACCTGAGAAATCTGCCTCCGGAACTCATCATTTGAAACATTACCCCTATCCTTCGGAAGGGCCACAAAAAAGGGGTGAGTGCTATCTCCAAGGTAACCACTCGCACTCAAATAGCGATCCACTTCCCAACGGTCACTAAATTCCTGTAAGCATAGCTGATCATCAAAACCAGTGTCTAAAAATATAATGTACTATGTGCCATTATAAACTTCAAACTACGGTGTCGTTGTAGATGCAACATCTTAGCGGTTACCACTACTACCAACACATCAAGTGGCCAAGACTGCTGACTGCATTGGCCACAATGCAACCACTACTGCAATCACACTTTAAATCCGTGCTCATGCAGCTTAATGGCAATATCAAGAACCTCAAGACATACGCATACAAACATTGGTGATTACATACTAACGGTTTTATTTTCCTTTCCTGTCATAACGTAAGGAGTAGTGTGATTCGGTAAGTCTCACACCAACCAAATAACTAGGGGTGTGCAAACCATGCTCACACTGATGGCTCATCACGTTAAAAATAAGTTAGTTAAACTTGATTCACCTTTTGGAGAAAAAAATTTTTACAATCTAATTCATCTCACCATTGATAGGTTGACTCACTTAAATACGTATCTTGTTTTTATTTTTTTAATCAGTAAAATAGGTGAGTTAGATAGATTAACTTATTAAAATAAATAATTAGTAGATTGATTCACTAAAATATTTTTCTTTATAGATTTACATTTACACTTAAGTAGGACAAATTATAATGCTAAAGATCGAAATAAATGGGTACCTACCACCAACCCTTGTTAAATCTACATATTAAGTATGACGGACTTGTGTTCATCATAATTGAATATTTTCAATTGTTTTCAACCCAGCCCGACTCGAATGATGGAACCATGGTGTGTCAAGTTGGCTCACGAATTGTGAGCAAGTTGACACCTCTATAAATAACGCCACTTAACCCTTATCCCATAAGTGAAATCGACTACATGGATATCAAGTTATATACTAGATTCTCAGGAATATCATTCAATATAAATTTCTCTTAACAATTTCTGCCAACCAATGAAATAGATTGTCTAACCTTTACTCCTCAATAAAAAGGCACCCTCCATACCTTTAGACGGTTATCAAATTTGGAGACAACAATCACTGTCCGTCTATATGTTGGGTCAATTTCACGAATGACATCCAACCACAACGAGGAGCACCACTCAACACTACTTTGCTGAAGGAACAAGAGTATACGATGAGGAGGACTGGCCAAGGACTTTACCATTGAAAGGATTTCATCGGGTGTGTTCTCTGGCTCACCCTTCTTTGCCTGCAGTATCAGGTGAGTTTTTATTAATACAATCCAGAAAGCATAAATGCCAAACCTTCACTTCTCACTGGTTAAGAATTCCAAGAACTCACCTTAAGAACAAACCCAGGTGTGTCAATAATAGTAAGGTTAGGACAATGTGCATACTCAGCTCTCATTACAATTGGCTTAGGAGAAACTGCTGCCTTGGTTTTCTTCAAAAGTGCCTCCGTTCGGGACTTTATAATGTCAGCAATTGCAGATGCCAAAACTACGGGACTTCCATACTCTTCTGAATCCTCCTCCTGTGTTTCAATGCTCGAGCATAAAACATGTGGCAAACCCAAAAAATAATACAAATTGTAAATTTATATCCTATGTTGTCAAAACTGGACCACATCCAAATGCTCTAACAGTGAATCAAACACCTAATCAATTTCAGTTAAATCTCACTACCAAATTAAGTTATGCCTTGTCAAACAGTTAAAGCCTAAAACTAATCAAACCGACTAGCTTAGCATACAAACAATACAAAATAGAAGAATTCATATAAAACTTTTCTTCTTAGTTGTACTTCCAATGAAATTAAAATTTTATCACTTTCTAATCTCCAAGCCTGATTTCCTTTTAAAATACACTACACATAGAAGAAAACTCTTCATATACTTTTAGGCAGTGTTTGGCTCAAAAATAGACTGAAATACAACATACTGTGATGTTCTATTCTCACTTGTTGACTGAAGTATCTGATTATTGTTAAAGTTAGGAATCATATTGAGCTCCCTTAGGTTATGTTTGGATTGATAGAATGGAATAGAATAAGATTAGAATGTATTATTAAAATATAATGAAACAAAAACCTCCATAACATTGTCTGGATATATTACCATTGAATGACACAAAATTTCCATTCCATATTATTCCTCAATATGATAGAAAAGCAAAACAAAAGTAAAACATGAAATATTTTTCACTATTTTTCATTAAGATTCTTCACTAATTATGTTTTTAGTTCTTGAAATTTGAGGGGAGTCCAACTTTAGGCTCCGAAATAAAAAAAAAAATCATCAAATTTGAAAAAATGTTTATATTAGCACAGTACTTTTCAAATTTGAGGAACTATTTAAAAATAAAAATAAAAAAGGAGATTAAGACGTTCATCCCAAATTTTATAAACTAAAAACATGGGTCTTTCCATTGTACAAAAAACCTACATGGATACACAATTTCATTTGACTATCATATCCCTCTTAAAAACTATGCCATCTAATAATATACTCAAAGGAGCTTCAAACTACTTTCTTTTTACAAACCAAACCACCTTAACCAGTTTTTCATCATCTTTTCCTCCACCGGTACAACACCTTAAACAATGGCACATAACAGCATTATATTTCATCTCTTCATTTCACCCTTTTCCAGTCAAACAAAGTGCTGGAATTTTCAATTTCAGGCACAAAAGTTTCTTTTCCACGACTTCAGTGACCAAATCCACCAATAGTAAAACTTTCAAGAACTGAGTGCAAGTTTGTTTTAAACTTACATAGCATTCTCAGAAATTCCAACAGAAATGTGTGCGTTTCAAATGATGAATTGAGAAGAAAAGATATGTTGCTTATAGAGTAAAAGTACTTTTCAACTCTCCCAACTTTAAACCAAACATGTATTAATATATTGATGTACTACTCCCAATGTCATACTCCCTTCTAACTCATGCACCAAACACACTGACCCAATCATGAAAGCAACATTCAAAACTCTAAAATCCAACCGAACTAAACCATGTATCTGCCAAACTTGGTTTCCTGAAAGAAGAACACACTGCAAAATTCAATTCCATTATAAGAGAGTGGGAAAATTGAAGACCTGGAAGCGGCATCGCGGCTCGAGAGCGGAGGCGTCGTGAACCATCTGGAGTATGAGGGGTCTGCGAGTCCCCATCTCAACCTCGCGCACGTTGAACCGGAACCCGAGGAGCGCCTCCAGGAGCGAGCTCTTCCCGTCCGACTGTCCCCCGACCGCCACGATCTCCGGGATCGGCAGCGTCTCACCAAACGCCACCGCAGCGCCCTGCAGCCGGTTATAGGCCTCGAACCGGGACTTCAACTCAGCCTGGCTCCGCCGGCTGCTTGCCTTCGACGAAGGTGTTTTTGAGGGAGTCGCCGTGAATGAGGAGGGAGTGTCCGCGCCGGAGCCGACGACGGTGGAGGACGACATAGTAGCGACGGTGACGGTGGTCTGGTGTTGATGTAGTGGGGTGGAGAGAGCAAGGAGAGACTTTTTGAATTTGAATTTGAATTTTGTGATGGGGTTAATGCGGATTTGTTTTAACGGGCCTTGGGTTACATAGACCCTTGAATTTCCATAACAACAAACCCTTAATTAATTTTTTTTTTAAAAGTAAGCAAGCAACGTTGTCTTTTTGGTTTCTATATTATGTTATATATTTTTAATCTCAATATGCTACTTTGTTTTATAATTAATAATGTATTTTTTTATTTATAAATATATCATTAAGAGGATATGAGTTATTCTGAATTCTCTTATTTACTTAATGCATATTATATTTTATAAGATGAGCATAAGTAATATTAATTACATTATAGAATAAATTTTTCATTTAAAACTTAATTTCAAATTCCCACAAAAGTGCCATAGTTTCATTTTATTCCAACTTTTTAAAAACTTATACAAATATTGGTAAATGTTTATTTTTAATATGATGTTTTATTAATAAAAAAAATAACAAATATTTTCTCAAAAATAACTCATTTTTTCATATAAAATTTATATGTTACTGGCCTATTACTCACAACTTGGAATTCCCTTTGCACTTAAAAAAAGTAAATGATTTATACATTACAAGTATATAAAAAAAGACATTTTAAAAAACCGATACTAAAGTGATTATATTTTAAAGAAGAAACATAATTAACCTTTTTCTATTCCATGGTATTTCTACAGTGCCACTTCTTTTATATTCTTAAAGTTTATCTTTTTATCATAAAAGAAGGGATGTGGGGATACACAGTGAGAGTTTAAATATAAATATAAGGGGCAGAAAAACCCAATAAGGAAAAAACTGTTTTGAAACCTCTTTGACAAAAGGGAGAAAGAGAGATATGACAGAAAAAGAAATAAATCAAAACATGTTATAATTCTTTATCTCTTTTGTAGGTCAACGTGTCTACTTAACTTACAAAGAACTTGAAATCAGGCTAGTTTAAATGATGAATGTCCGAGATAAAATCGGTTATAACAAGAAAATATTCAGAATAAGATTATGAGATGACTGAATCTGGCAGAGCCGGTTAGACATCTCCTCATAAGCTTATGCATGAACGAAAAATAAAGACAGGAAAGTAAAGATAGAAAGATAAACACACAAGTCTATGATAAGATTACGAGATGACTGAATCTAGCAAAACCGGTTAGACATCTCCTCATAAGCTTATATGAACATAAAATAAAGCTATACAAAAAAAAATTTTAAGCCTTTAAATGATTATCACATCTTTTAATAAATACCGCTTAAGGCATCCAAGGACGTTCATATAAGCTTATGAGGAAATGTCTAACCAGCTCTGCCAGATTTAGTCATCTCATAATCTTATCATAGACTTGTGTGTTTATCTTTCTGTCTTTACTTTTCTGTCTTTATTTTTCGTTCATGCATAAGCTTATAAGAAGATGTCTAACTGGCTCTGCTAGATTCAGTCATCTCATAATCTTATTTTGAACATTTTCTTGCCGACTTTATCTCGCACAATCATCATTTAAGCTAGCCTGATTTCAGGTTCTTTGTAAGCTAAGTAGCCACGTTGAACTATAGAAGAGATAAAGAGTTATAACATATTTTGGTTTATTTCTTTTTCCGTCATGTCCCTCTTTCCCCCATTTTTCAAAGAGGTTTCAGAGCAGTTTTCCCCATACTGGGTTTTTCTGCCTCTGTCTCCCCTTCTTGGTATCAGAGCGAGAAATCCTCGGTTACCTGAATATTTTTGCAATTGAACTGGTTTTTATTCGCTAAGATACCCAGACCGGTAGTAGGGCGGGTTAAGGCCGGGGAGTGCCACGAGACCCTAAGTCCCGCGAAACTACCTTTGTGGGTTGAAGAATACTTTGCATATTGCGACGGTCTTTGCAAAAATATTTTCTTGTATATCATTTTTATTTATCTTCTTTTGTTTATCTCGTTTGTTTTCCTTTTACCACTTAAAAAAAAATATAAAAAGTAACAAAAATTAATAAAAACAACAAAAAGATTTTCTTTTAAGTCTTATGATTATCTATATTCTTTTATAAATATTTCTTTACGAGTGTATTGCGTGGATCCCCTTATGATATGAATCACAAGGGGTAATTTAGGATCTTTAGGGTTAAAATCTTGTAAAAAATTTAGGAATTAGAAAGAAGGTGGAAGGAAAGAATTACTCTTCCCAAGGGAGGCAATACACAAAGGATGTGAAAGTCCTTTGATATAGCTAAGGGTTCTTGAATCACTCAAGAATTTAAGAGAATCACTCTCACTAAGATAAATGAGATAAACTCTAATATTTCTGAATAAAATTTCACTTATTATTTCTTGATAAAAAATGGTTCAGCTGATATAGAAGCGTTGTCATCAGAATTACAAAGACTCAATATAAGAAAATAAATACTAATAATAACCCATTAATCTAGGAATTGAAAACTATTTAATAGAAACAAATAAAGGCTAATAATGATCCATTAACCTAGGAATTGAAACTACTTAGTGACTGATTGTATCTGAAACTGTGGTAACCAAAAGTCAATCAGCTATGCACCCCTTGGTCTCCCAAAGGATGATGACTAACTTTTCAATTGAGCCCTTATTACAACTTAAAACAAAATCAAACTAAAGCCCATTAATTGATTAATTCAAAACATAATTTGGTCAACCAACAATATTTGTTGAAGAACTTCCTTTATTTCCCTTGCTCTAGCCCTTATCATAGGTCATGTTCACATCACCTTATTCTTCTCTTCCACTGATCTGCTGCTTTATTCTCTGATTTACTGCCTTTTTTTTTACAATTTTTTTTATTTTAAAAATTTTAATGGAAGGTACTACACAACCTTTTTTAGGCAAAGACTATAAAACAGCTCTGATAGCTGTTGAACAAATCACAAAATCCCCTCCAGTGGGATATAAAAAGCCTACTTCAGAAGTAGACAACACACACAATCCTGATTGGACAAACACAACACGATAATAACACTTCTAGAAGAAGTGTTTAGAAAATTAAAATTTTTAATAGATTTAAACAAAAATACAAACAAGGCAAATGAGATAGATGATCTCATTAACCAGGTTTCTAAATTGTCTTTAGGAACTAACACATACACTAAAACAATTTCTAAAAATACACAGAAATTTGTTAAAATGTCTACAAATGGTCTTAAAAATCAGACCAACAAAGAAGAAGTTTCCTCTTCTACAAACAAAATTGTGAGTTAAATATGTTTGCACGACCTATTAACTCCACACAAACATAATTAGAAACGGTTGATATGAATAATACAATAGATTCTAATCAAACGCAAAGATTTCCTGGAGTCCCTAGAAGATTAAGGGAACATCAAACTAGGAGTCAAAACCTAATACAACATCCAGGAATTTTAGATAGATTCCTAAATAGACAAAGATCTACTAATGTCAGACGTTTTGAAAACTTAGTAGATATATAACAAAATACTGAGATATGATCAAATACAAGGATAAATTTCTTGAATCCTAGGCAGTTATACAATATCGGTTGGTTAGGCTCAGAAAGGACTAGCCTTTACCGATATAGGAGAATAGAAGATTTTCATCTTCTAGATAACACTTATGAGATAATTCCTCTGATATCTCAACAAACTGGTAGGCAACTACTAAGCCAACAAGGAAGATATGTCCATATGAGATTGATTACCATTGAAGTTAGATCCTTGGCTAGGCATATGATCGGAGCCAGAGCTTTGATAGTTCTACATGACTCCAGATTTCAAAACAATGATTCACAAAATGTGATAGGTATTTTAGAGGTAGATTTAAATCAATCTTTTTCATTGATATACCTTGCACCAAACTTTACACTTACACTTCCAGATTTTGTTAACCACATAAGTCTAGAAGTACAATTAGTAGGATTTAGATCCAATTGGGTGGGCGAAAATCTACACCTAGACATCACCTTCATTGAAATAATTAGTAATCATATTTCTTCCATGTATAGGATAGATACAAGACCATTAAAGGAAGCTATCAGCTCTCATGGTACACAATTTTTGACATCTCAAGCCTTCACAAGGAGAAATGAAGGACATTTATGGAAAACCCACTTATTAAGGGAAGAAGATAATCCCGTTACTGTCCCTTCATCTGCTATTTTGCATAACAGATCTAGAGGACTTAGTCTAAGCTTCACAGACTATAGAAATATTTCACGACTAGACTTAGAACAAGATAGGCCAGTGGAAAACAGGCATAACACTTCTGCTATTCCTGATAATGAAAATATTTCTATGATGAATATCATAGAATATGAGGAAGATGAAGATGATGACATGACTGATGAGGAATGAAATCATCATCAGACTATTATAGCCATGTTCAGACAAATAACTTCAAATTCTTTGTCCCAGACAAATAAAAATGTCCAAATTAATGATGAAGATAATGTCATTAATGAGATGGGATGTTATAAATGCATTCTTAGATGAATTTTATCAAAATGAAGAAGATGATACATTGGATAATTTATTTAAAGTCTTAGAACCTTTATCTTTATTAAGGTTAGTAGACATAAATGAAGAAAAAGATACATTGGATAATGTATCTTTAGTTTCAGAACCCTTGATTGGGTTCGTTAACACAAGTAGTGATACATTGGATAATGTATCCGAAATCTCAGAACCTTTATCTACATTAGGGTTAGTCAACACAAATGTTGAATCAAAATATTTCCAACCTCATAGTTATCAGTTGGAACCAAATGGTATACACAGTTACTCTATTGGTTTCCCACCTAGAGTATCACCACAAAATGTTGTCTTTAGCGACAACCAATACACAACATTAGGCAAAAGGCTTCCGATAGAGCCAAACTTCCAGATGCCTAATCTTCTTCTAAACATAGGAGGAATAGATCCTCAACTATTGCCAACATATATTGAGTAATGGACTGCAGCTGTAATCCGTGATTATGACA